TAGGTCTCATAATCCTAAGGTCGTGAGTTCGATCCTCACTCGCCACATATTGCACTTGTCTCACATGTGCTATACTGGTGATTCACTCATACTCCCATCCCAGCCGAACACAACGCAAGAACTACGTCTGTGCCTCTCATGATGCCCTGTCAAGATCACACAAAACGTGAACTGACACGAGTCGTTCGCTCTTGTGTGCTCACAGCCATTGCAACAGTAAGTTTTGCCTTAATTCCGCCTGCCCAGACAAATCTCCCTACACATGATGAAAAATTGAGCAGATCTTGTCTACGTCATTAAAGTTCGCAAAGGGCTGTTCTGGGAATTGAACCCAGGACCTCTCGCACCCGAAGCGAGAATCATGCCACTAGACCAAACAGCCAGTGACTGCTCCTTCCGCCCAACCCATGATAATTTACGAACTAGCTTGCGGGCTGCCATGGGGCACGAGACGTTGTCGACAAGAGGAGGTCGCATTGTGTTCTCGGAGTCGCTTGAATGGCTGCAGGACATGTGCTGCCTTGCGGAGCTAGGAAAATGCAGCCTACATGGACTCATACACCCAGCCAGGATCGAACTGGCGACCTTCAGCGTGTTAGGCTGACGTCATAGCCACTAGACCATGGGTGCATCTATTGAACCCTTGAATGCGATGGAAGAGAGGATGTCTGTTGCGACATGGATTGCTGACTCAAAAGCATAGGACAGCAGGCAGCGTGTTTTCCCAAGAACCACGTTGCATGCACTCAGTTTGCAAGTTGGGCTCTTCCGAAACAAAAAACGACACGAACATCAGCACATGTTCTTTTCTGGCCGGGTTTCCTTGTGAACTGTTTTGGTCGGCAAAGGTGATCAAAGGGTGAAATCTGATATCCAATCGCAAAAAAAAGACTTGCATGGGTATGGCAACCTCTTATTTTCCAAATGTCCCCACCAGGAGTCGAACCTGGGTTGTCGCGGCCACAACGCGACGTCCTAACCACTAGACGATAAGGACTCTGCTGCTTGCGGCGGACCTCTTGACAGCCTTGACAAGCAGCAGGGAACATGTGACTGGCAGCCGCCAGGGGCCTCGTTAGTATTTCGTGCTTCCGCTGGCAGGAGCGCCTCGGTAGAACTAGCTAGGACCGGGTAGGCACGGACGGTTGCGACTTTGGGCTGCCGGAGCCTTTGCTTGGGATTCCTCGCTCATGTTGAACACTCGGGGCCTCGCTAAAATGCCCTTGAATTCCTAAGGAATCATATAGGGATCGTGGCACCACCTTGCGGTGGGCAAAGGTCATGCGAATCACTCGCTAGGACAGCGCCGACGCCTGCACCAGGCAAGGCTCCAACTTGCGTTGGGCTATTCCTTTTCTCGGCAAGCTATGTCCTTCATGATTCGGCCTCAGCCTGCAGCTCGGCGTTCTGATCCATTAGACCACTGACCAAATCATCATGCTGCATTTCTTCAATCCTGAACCTCTGAAAGCACTCATTCTCTTCTTGCTGACGCTTCTCCTCTGAAACATGTCGGATTCGGCTTTGAATGGTGGGCGAGGCGTCCCCTCAGGAAAGCGAGGCTAGCGGCTGCGCCGGCAATTTCTGCCGGTGGGGGGGTGGGACAGGCCAGGCACAATCGCGGTCGCCACGTTTCGTGCTCGCCCTAAGAGTAATAGCTAGCGGGGCTAGGCAGCCTGCCAGCACAGGCGGAGCGCTGAGTTCTCCGCGAGCAGGAGGGCTGCCGGGGCACTGATTGCCCACCCGCAGCTTCCCAGTCTTGCATGCGAAGCAAAACGTACCTTGAGTGGAGCCAAAAAAAGTGTAAAAACAAAGTGGAGCACGGCAGGCAAAAACAACGCCTGTCAGAGTCACCTGCGCGGCCGACATGAAAGGACGCCCCTCCAGCTAGCGCAGACTTGAGCCCACTTGAGCCAAAATGGCAACGGAAAAAGATCGTAGGCGTTGTTTCCTGCGTCGCACACCATCGGCACTATTTGTCACTACATCCAGCGAAATGCAGTGCGAGCGCGGCACGCTCACCCACTTCACGCAGATGCCCATCATGACTTGCCCACCACCAGTGCAGGTAATTTGTATGCGCGGCAGCAGGCCGCAGCTCGGGCCGGCTTCCGGATTTCTTCCTGCAGGTGCCAACAAATCTGCCGTTCCTAAGCCCTCAATCGTGGCTCCGCCCAGTTTCAGGAGGGTCGTTATGCTGCAGCTGCGCCAAAATTTTTCTCAGTGAACGGTTGTTACTCGATGCAAAGCACGACCTCCGCAGCCGTTTGGCATCGAACATTAGGGGTTTCAGCATGGTTTGCACCTGGTTGAACAAGCACGGTGCAGTCTGACTGATGAATGATCTGTAACAAATGTCCGCAGGCTGCAGCCAAGGTGTTAGGAAATTAGCCGCTGTCCTCTAGCTTTGTTTTGGACCGGGGGCCGTGTGAATGAGCATCTTGCAGCCCGAGGTGGGGAAGACACGAACTGGTACGTCTGATGCACCGGGCCTGCATCCGTAACTTCGTTACATCGCAAAATCAGTCTGTCATTTCGCAAGGGCATGCACGCACTGACTTGCCGGAATCCCCAAACCCTGAACCCCGACTCTTGGTTTAACGGTGCCGTGCCTGGTTTCTTGGTTTCAGTTCGATTACTTCAGCTTCTTAGGCGTTCTGACTGGATGGGCAGGCAGACAAGAAGTTTCAACAAAGATAACCCGGACCTTCTTAACCCTAAACCCTTCTACAAAATTTCGGAGGCAGCATGGTGCCCCAAGACCATAACACGGAGATGCTGGGAGGAGTAGGCTCCAGAAGCATATCTGTGTACCGGAGCGGCAAGCGGATCGGCGGCATTGTTGTTGCTCCAAGCAGTCCCCCTGCTGCAGCATCGAGGCGTAGCATTCGCAGTCATGTGGGTCTTGCTCTTGGCGTTGCCCTGTGCCGTAGGGGCAGATACGTTGCTGGCACAAGGCGGTGGGTTTCGGATCACGGAGACTAGCCATGATGTACCCAAGGCGCCTCGCAACGATGCGGCGAGGAACCGTGGGCCGTATGACCGTGGCACTACCTACGGCCAGAATGAACTCTTCCACCAGGTCAGGAGGGCAGATGGGGTGGAGGGGGTGATGTGGCAGGAATATGGAAACAACCTGGTTGGAAAACCAATCTTTTTGACTTGGTTTGAAGATGACGGCACACACGTAACCCAGAGACTTGCGGAGGATAATCACAATCCTTGGCTAGCGGGGGCAACCTCTGACAACGACGGACAGATATATTATCTGGAGATACAAGACGTGACGCAATGGATCAGTAATGAGCTTATGGGCGGGTGGACTGTTGATCCCACAGAGCCCTGCCAAGCTTGGATAGTCCATTGGGACACTCAGCGCAATAAGCAGCAATTCCGGAGGGAGCTGCCCAGCGAGGCCATGCTCTTGAATGATTTCACGGAGAACACTGCGGCGCTTCGTTACGACCCCATCAACAACAACATCGGTGTTTATTTCTCCCACCGCATGTTCCGCTCGTCCGACGGTCTGAATCACCAGCGTGGCTTGGGCTTTGTTTTTGATGTTGACAGGATGGAGATCACTGGGGCTGGCCACTACCAGACTGGTAGCCATTCCTTCCAAAATTCCATGATCGCCGCTCCGACGGGTGGCTTCATCGGTTTGGAGCTTGACGATGGATCTCCCCGTGGGCTGCAGGTGATCAAGATGGATGCTCACAACAAGGAGTATCTCAAGCATGTGTTGTTGCTGTTACACGAACATGAGACAGCATCTGTATCTAGGACGGTCCTCTGAGTCAGATACGTTTGGGCGTGTGCATCTTTTACAGGTTGTCCACAGTGTAGCGGATGCTTTGTATGAGGACTTGGGCTTTACACCCTATATGTTCAAGACACGCCATGGATCTGGACCCGAAAATCCGGCTGGCAGCAGTTTTCCTGTGTATCCAGAGATATCCGTGAACGGAAACACCTTCTACAAGTGGAGTAATGACAACCAGGTCTACACTGTGTTGGCTCAGCCTGGAATCGTTGAGGTGTCCGATGGATACCTTATCTTCTTCGCTGGCGAGCGACCGCCACTGGACAGCAGTGCAATGGAGACCCACGAGCAGACAGTGCAGTCCCCTCGCAACCTGGGCTGGGTGAAGATTGGCAAGAACATTGCCGCCAAGGAGGTGCGATTCTGCAACACATCTGTTTCTAGGTCTAGGCGTTAGTGTGCTGCAAGAGCAACTTGAAGCAGTGCTTGTACAGTTATACAACAGAAGCGATCCAAAGAAGGTGCTCTCCGGCGGTGCAACCGAAACCGAGACAGGGGGCTTCTACGGCTTCCGTGGTGAATGGACATCGCAGTCGCACCGCGGCATCAAGTGGCTCACGAACTACGAGCACAAATGGCTCATAATGAACAAACCGAAGAGTGTACGACTGGCCCCCAACCGCATCCTCCTGATGTGGGAGCAGTGGCTGTCGAGGCCCATGACAGAAGCCGATTGCAGAGAGATTGCTGCAGATGTTGACTTTTGCATCAGTGTCGTCACAGCTGACTGGTATGACAGATCCAGCGACTGGCGCGAGCAGATCATTCGGACGGAGCTGATGATCGTGGATGACAGCGTTCACATCGTCAAGCCTCTGTGGGCCATGGAGGGAGGGCTCCTTACGCCGCAAGGCGATGCACCTCGCGTCATAGATGGATGTGCCATCATCTATGCAGGCAGGGGCAGGAGCATCAAGAGGTGGAAGGTGTGCGAGGTGGAGTGCGCCAAAGAGGTCGACAGCATGCACGAGTTTGTCTTGGTGTCCTCCGTGGAGCTGCCTACCGATGACCCGTGCTTCCAGCCTTTTCCTCCCAATCCGGACACCTGCTTCGATTCAGTGGATGCAGGCCAGGGGCTCGTTCCATGGTAGCGCAATGCCTGTTGCTACGGGGAGCAGTCTAAGGCCGAGGGCGGACGCAACACGATCATGTGACACTTATGCTTGGGGCTAGACGTCCATGGCATGTCATGCAGAAACCCCCCGTTTGCGAAAGTCCTGGGGAAGTTTCCAGGTGGCGGCAAGGGCTATGGCCCTACGAGATGCCAAGCTTCCTGTCGGCCTGCCTTGTGCCACGAAGTTCCCCATTTCTGCAGCTCTACAGCCCAGCACCTGGATCTTCATAAGGTACTGCATCATTAAATCGCAAACACCCAGGAAGGTCCAGGAGCGAGACTGCAGCTTCAAAAGATTGTGACACAGTGAAAAATTCCATTTGGCATGCAGCTGTGCGATCAGGTACTGCCCGCTGACATGCGGCCACTGCAGTGCGGATGAGAACCGTGGCTACAACGCGACTGAGCAGGCACGGGAGAAAATGCTCAGGGGTGAAGAAGTGCAGTACTTGAGTTGTTTTCATTAGTTGGTCGAGCCTCCATGGTTCGGGGTGTCATGCGATCTCAAACAGCAATCCGCTGACCTTCAGGTTCCTAGCAAAAACGGAGGCAGTTTAACCGGATTCTTTGGTTACAGCCGTTGCTCATCTCACCCAGCCTCTTCACGGGACCATGTGCAGAGGCTCTGGTGGACTTCCTCAAGAGCTGCGAGGTTGGCTCAGTCACCCATGGGATCCACGAGTACCGTGTACCTGCAGAAGAGCGCCAGGCGGGCTATAGTTTCAAATCAATGCATAAAGTCTATTAGTTTGTGTTTGGCTGGGTCATCTGGATCTCGGTATGGACAAATCTTGCTACACAAATCCTGCTACATCCTCATCATCTGCTGAGGTTACCCGCTTCCGGCAGACTTATGACGGCGCATGCCCTCCTGAACGTCCCAGTGGCGGGGCCGCAGATGCCACAACGAGTGGCGGCGCCAGCTTGGGTGGTGAAGGTGCCCACATGCTCGGGATGTTCACAGTTCATAATCATGGGTTTGTAGGGTTGCTAGATCGAATTTCAAGTATGGTTCACAAGTGAAGCAAAGCATGTGAGATGTTCTGCGTCAAGGGCCGCTGAGCACTCCAGGTGGCTTTCTGTCGAGCAACATGACGACAACAACCACGGCAACCACAATGTCTCGCACTTGGGGCGTTGCCCTTATGAATGGGGCCTCCACGAACGTGGTAGGAGCCATGTTGATGACGCTGGTGCTGGTCCAGCTTCACCTAGCCAACTCGTGAAGGCTTCTAGCAATCACTTTTGCCCCCGTCGGGCACCAGGTTTCCGGACAAGGCTTTTTGTTCCCTGCCTTGTTTCTTCCTTGACGGCAGTGGGCGCAGGCGGCATTGCACGATACCATGTAAAATACATCTGGTGGGATCGTTAGGTGCTTGCTGGTGGATGTCTTTCTGCAAAGCCCCCTAGTTTGCTGAAGCCTGCAGGGCCCAGTGCTGCGCGCAAAGATTCCAAAATAAGTTATTCAGGCTACCTACGGCTCCCCGATGTGGACAGCAGCCCCGCATAGCGGAGATACGGCTAAAGCCTGGCTGCTTTTCCATGTCTCCTCGCGGACCGTATTGGCCAGGAGGCGACCTTGAACTATATGGAGCTTGTTTAATGGCAGTGCTTTGAAGGCGCTTGCAGGAAGTACGGTTGCCCATGATGCTCATCAGGGGATTCTGCTGGCGTCTGTTCTGTGCCTCCCTGGTGTTCCGGTGTTCCCACTCATTTCAACTTTCTGTATTGGTTGTTCTGCCTCAGCTTGAGACTGCGCGATGCCCAAGGCTGCTTCCGGCTCATGTTAGCCTGCTGTACCATGTTTCTGATTCTGACTCATGATTCCGCAAAGACAAACCAAGCCTTCCTCTCAGGGCTGCGAAGGGACACTTGCACTATTCTCTTGAGCAGTGTAGCCAGGTGCTGCCGCAGGCTCAGCAAAGGAGAACATGTGGGCACCTATGTGGCCCTTTGAGGTTCTGGCGTCTTTGGCATCGATTTGGAAAAAGGAAACGGCACAGGTATGACCCGTCATATCCCGTCATTGTCTTCGTTTGACAAGTTTTGAAGGCAAGCCTTTCAGTTGTCCCTGTTGAACGTCGCGCAGTCCAGTTTCGTGTCTCGGGTTCGCTTTACTAAGTTCATTAGAGGTCTGCAGTGCGACGCTATTACATGACTGGCCCTGGTTCCCGTTGTCTGCGTGCTTCATCGCGAGCCACGAGAATCAACACCAAAAGCCTCTGAGCGTGGCCAGGATTTGAAGCCAAAGGGCACTTTGAAACCAACTCGCTGAGTGATGCTCGAGTCAGGTGGAGTTTGTACAGGAGTTCGGCAGTTTCATCAGCTGCATCGGGTCCAGTGTGGGCGAGCTTGATGTGTATGAGGCTGCAGAGTTTGACAAGGAGAGGAACGTGAAGAGTAGTAAATAGCAGTTTCAATTTTTAGTTTCAGTAGAATGACAGTGGCTCGAGTGTGCAACCCTAGCCAGCCGACCATGGATCTGTTGGCACCTCTGGAACTCTTCTGGATGTGCATCTGCATTGAGGCTTGTCTGTACTACCTTCGCGTCTTCGCGTGCTGCTACCGAAGATAGCACCATGCGCCTCGCAATGCTCTCAGTTGCATGTCTGCGGTTCTTGGCCTACTGTAGCAACCTCCGATTACCAACCGTGTCGGCTCCCAGCTTCGGCTCCATGCCTTTCACAATGCGCGACTCGGGGAAGCAGAGTTCCTTAATTCATCGTCTTCGTCTTCCAAACGAAACTCGTTTCTTTTCTCAAGCCCTTGCTAAGGTCCATATCGCCGGCGCTGCCAAGGTCCTCACAGCCATCCGTGCTCATGCTGAGGTCGGTCCTATCGTCATCTTCAGCTATTGCTTTGCGCCAGGCTCTCTAAGTGAGTGCTCGTAGCAGCCCCTCTTATGAATCACCCTAAGTCTAGACATCCATCGACGCCACTTACTGGCTTCAGGCTCGTATGGTGACAGGCTGATCGAGGGTCTGTCTGGTGAACTTGAGTGCAGAAATTGTGTGTAACGGTCGACTGAGAGGCTCGGAATCGCGAAGAAAGCCGTGGTACGTTGGCACTCGAGCGTGTGTAGTGCGAACACGTGCAAGCATCTCCATGTGCAGGACTACTTCGCGAAGATGAGTTACAGTGATTAATGCGTTTCCAGCCTGCGCATTTGCCATCGTATGTTTTCTATGACGGATGGTCGCGTTCCCTTAGCTGTAGCTTGATAAGTGGCATCAAATACAAGCTGTTGCCATGGCCAGAGTTGTTAGATCAACCGCCTTTCGGCGCACCTGCACGCGGAGGGGTGCCGTAGCAGTAGCCGCTGCTGCTTGGGCAGCTTTTGCTGCCTCGTCTCGATCCCCTGGCGACAGAGCTTTCTTCAGCATCTTCGGGGGTGCGATGAAGCCTGCAGGGAAACAGATTCCACCTGCGGAGGTGGTTGGCGCGGCTTTGCGTTCTGCAGATGGTCCGAACAAGCAGAGCACAGCGTGGGAGGTTCTGGATACCACAAGGTTGCCAAATCAGACGGCCTTGGTCACCGGGGCCAACTCAGGTCGCTAATCTAACTTGGCATTCTTTCCTATGAAACTGTCGACGACGGTCCAAGTGTATAGCGAGAAGGACAGAGGCCTTCTGGACTGTACTAGCTTAGGCTTAGTCTGTGGGATCTCCTAGCAGATGATCACGGGTATGCAACGACCTGTCGACACACAAGCAAGCTTCAGCTCCTGACAACTTTGCTGCCCCATGTGCATTCGGTGAGTACTCCGTCCTTCAAGGTATTGGCTACTACACGGCTTTGGCGCTTGCGTATGGCGGTGCACAAGTCCTGCTGGCCTGTCGAGACCCCAAGCGTGGAGAAGCCGCGAAAAAGGCCATGGAAGAAGCGCTGCAAGATGCTGGTCGACCGGCGCCCACCATAGAAGTGGTCGAGCTGGACTTATCTTCCCTCAGCTCCGTCCGCATGTTCACAACGACGTTCCTCAAGGAAGGTCGGCCATTGCATCTACTATGTCTGAATGCAGGTGTTATGGCAATTCCAAAGTTTGAGACATCCCGAGACGGCTTTGAGATGCAGTTCGCAACGAACCACCTGGGGCATTTTGCGCTGACAAGAGCTCTTGCAACGAGGATCGCAGAGTCTGCTCCTGCAAGAGTGGTTACTTTGGCTTCCGAGGCCCACAGAGCTCCCAATCAAGCATACGATCTCAGTGACTGGCCTCCTAGTGCTGCTAAGTATGGAGACTGGCGCGCCTATCAGCAGTCCAAGCTGGCCAACATCCTGTTTGCTCGTCCCTGGGCAGCCGCTTATAGGTGTTTTTTGTTGCAATCCCGGACCGGCTTCTGCCACCATTCATTCGGTAGCTGCAACCTCCAAGCAAGATCACAGCGACACTCTGCCAGGTGAGTTCTCAAAGCGCGTCGCTCTCATACCAGGAGGCGATCTTGTCAGCTCCAACGCTGTTCATCCAGGCGTTATCTCGACTCCCCTGGGAAGACAGCAAGTTTTGAAAGGAAAAGTGCTACTCGGAGTCTTTCAAGATCGCGACGAGGTTCAAGGGGCCGCTACCAGTGTGTTCTGCTTAACGGCTCCGCAGGTAGAAGGTGTCACAGGGGAATACTTCCGAGACTGTGCTGCCACAAAGCCTTCCGAGTTCGCCACAGACACCGAAGCTGCACGCAGACTTTGGGAGCTATCAGAGGAGCTGCTCGTCAAGGAAGGTTTCTTTGTTGGAGCTGGCGAGGAAGGCTGAGGAGCTCTGCATCAGGGAAGGGCCGAGGCGTTATGAGTCGTGAGAGCATTCGGGCCGGCCAAAACGCGCTTCGTGTCTTGCGGCATGCGGCAACTGCTACTGCTACCCCTCCTAGAAGCAAACCCGTCGGTAAGCGCTTGCAAGTGCAGCAGGCACAGCCGTGTCAGTGGAAGGTTTCCTCCATGGGCGGCGATGTCATCCCAGCCATAGAGGGCAGGCGAAGTCGCCGGAGCTGAGGCGGTTCGGAAGCGGTTGGAACGTGCTTTGAAAGCGTGGTGCTGACCCGAACGTGTGAGGCCTTGATTGCAGATGCTGACGCGTCGTCGGAACCCCAGGAGGCCGACTTGCTGGCACACATACGGGCTCCATGCCTGAGGCTTCTCTTGTCTCAGGCGGTGGAGAGCTTACTGCTTGCAATTCCTGTGTGCTCTGCGCCAGCGGCTAGACGGCCAAGCTCAGCGTACAGTTTTACTAATCGCAGCAGCTCGGCCGCTGGAAGAAGCCGAGAGTCTTCCCACATGTTGGGATATCGAAAGACCTCAAAAAGTCCCACTTGGTTGCCTTTGACTGTTTTCACATACAGGCGCCCTGTGCTAAGTGTAGTGGTGAACAAGCGAAGAACAAACTCCACGGACTCAAATTGACGCCACGTCTGTTTTTGTTTCGCATGTCTGTGTTTGTGATTTTGAATGTTGGGTCGTTGTCGTCGGAATGTTTGTGCGTCTATATCCTTCCGTGTTGCCACAGGCCCCTTACGGTTTGGAATCTCCACTACCGTTCTAAAACTTGCAATAGCCCGTTTTGTTTTCGTGTTGTGAATCCGAAGATCGCTCTGGCAGCAAAGCTCGTCCAACCCTTCTTTCTCATTATGCCTGCAACCCCAACCATGCAGCCGCCTGCGAATTTCTAGAAACCAACAACCCACCTTGCTACATCCTTACTTATGCTGTTCGGGAGCATGGCAAACACCTGGTCCAGAGCCGGGTGCACCGACTGGCTAACAGCATAGTCACATGAGTGAACACTCCCACTCGTAGACGAGACCAGCTCGTTCCGCTGCCACAGCAGACGCGTCAATGAAGGCCGCAGGGTTCGGAAAGGTTCGGATAGGGCACGTTCTCAGCGACTGGGTGACAGGGACCTGGGCACTAAACCTTTCTGAAATTGGTTGCAAGTTGTGCTAGAGCTATAGTTTTGGCTTCCCGTCTTACCCACATCTGCAGCTTAGACATGTTTAAGCAAATAGCATGCAGACTTGGTTGCAATTTCCTGCCTTCGTGTCCCGGCAAGAATATGAAGATGCCGCATAGATGATCTCGTGAGATGGCCCTGTTGCCTGCCTCTGCTCGGTTCGGCACATTTCTTGCTGAGGGCCTTTGGCTCTGAGAATCCTCCTCCGTCCTTGGCAAAGAGATGGGCTGCGCATGTTCCAGCGGCAGTGGCACTGGTGGCATCAGTCTTGAACCGCAGGAAGAGATCTGTGTCGGGGCAGAGGTATCCGAACAGAAGGGGGTTTTGGTTTAGATGTTTATGGGGTTTCTAGTCGCTTGTCCTCTTTTACGGAAACGCTTCTGCTCGTGTGGTGGCAATGCCAGGTTTGCTGTGGAAATGAAGGCTTTCTCAACCAAGATGGACCGTGCTGCAGCAATCTGAGCTCGCCCCTACTAGGCAAAGACTACAAAGATGTGGAGGTTTCGGATGAGACCTCATCCTACTCCGATGAAGAGGACGAGTGCCCAAACCCTAGATGCAGCCTGACAGTGATGCGATCCCTAAGCCCGGTTAAGCAGGAGCAGCAGGAGGAGCAAGACCAGAAGCCACAGCCCTTGCCCTGGGGGCGCTTCGCCGTCCTGTGGGCGTGCAGCAGCCTGGCTTGCGGTTTGCTGCCAGGGCAATCGCTCTTCGTGGAGATGTTTGCCGACTCCGGAGTGTTCATGTCAAGCTGTGCAGATGGGAAAACTGGATGCACGGATCAAGTTCTTTTCCTCACCTCCATCTTCGGCGCTGGACAGAGCCTCGCCTACGGCTTTTCGGCACCAATCGGCCTACTCTTCGACAGATGGGGGCCGAATGTCACGGGCGTAGTGGGAGCAATCCTTTGTGCCGTTGGTTTGCTGATGGTGTCTGGATCTGCTACTTGGCTTTGTTGTTGGAATGCACAGTTAGCTTTTGGGCTTACAGTCAAGCTGTGAGTTATCTCCTAGTTAGTTGTCTTAGCTCGCGTCTCACACGGTCTACGTGTAAAGAATTATTTGAGGCTTCAAAACACTTCTGCTGGTAATGCCCCTCTGAGTTGGAATGCTCCAGGTTCTGGGTGCAGTGACAGGCTACGACGCGCAGACCTCGTACCTGTTCCTCATCGGCATCTTCACATGTGACTTCGGCTCTCTTCTCAACAGCTTCTCGTTCATGGGCCTTATCTGGCATTTTCCCGGGAAGCAGACAGCACCCTGAGATCAACGATGGAGCTTAACATTTTGTGGGTCACGAAAATATGAAAAATCGTCCGGTTAGACAGTCCGAAGAACTGCTTTTTATGACCTGCTACAGAGGTGGTGCTTGCTTTGATCAATTCTACCTACCAGGCCTCGGCAATGCTTCCTATAGTTGCGCAGGCGATCATGCATCGTTTTGGCTTAACTCTCTCCAACATAATGCTCACTTGGACGGTGATGGTCGTGGCATGTATCTACTGCTGCTGGCTGTTCACTCCCACACAGGCCGAGTATTACCAGCAAGCAAAAAAGGTCCTGGGCATGCCCTTGCCGAAGCCACCGAAGAAGATGAAACCCTGCGACATGTTGTCGCGCGGCGTTAAAGTGCTGCGGCAGCATCGGCAAAGGCACGCTGTCTCAGCCATTTGTCTGGCAGTTGGCTTGATGCTGCCTCTGATGTATTCTGCCCTAGCCGCTCCTTATGGCACGGTCTTGTTTCTCGGCCGTGGTTGGAAAGCTGTTTTTGAAGTCCAGGGTAAAGCCTTCCCCTGGCTAGCAGCTACAACGACAATTCAGGTTTGGTCACAAGTCGGATGGCAACAGGCTTGCGGATATCAACGTCCTGTGTACAACAATCGTAGGCTTGGCATTGGGCCGCTCTGTGGGAAACTTTGCAGACATATTTGGCTTGCAGGCCGGGAGTGACCGGTTTGAGCACAGGGTCAATGCAGGCATTTGAGGCCGCAGTTTTGGCTTCTGGTGAGTGGTTGTTCCGGTGCTGAGTATGCAAGCTTATGCCCCAACGGTGAGGTTATGTGAGGCTCGAGGCATATTGCCCTCCTTTAATCTTGTTTCAATCTTTTGTCTTACCCACGAGTCAGTGCCAGGCCCACGCATATCATGCTCACAGCTTGTATAGTTACATAGCTCCCAGTTGACAAGTTCAATCATGTGTAACCTTGAAAACCGTCAACCCGAAGCCCGGGAGAACCTCGTAGGCCATGTTCCACAGCGCCTTTGCCTCGAAGCATCCTTAGCCGCGAAGCCGGCCCTTCATTCAGAGCTTAGCCCGAGAAGGCTTCAGTCGCATTCAGTGGCAATGGGCGGGTCAGAGAGGTTTGGGGGATAAGGGTCTGCTTGCGAATAGCCCATCGTCACTCAATTTTTGCCTCAGAAGTCCCTGTGCAAAAAAGAACACAGCACATCCAAACGTTCTCCGTCGTATGCCAGAAGCTGGAAGACCTACGGAGACGTCACAGGACGAAGGCACCTAAAAATCACACACTCGAAGATAAACACCGTTGCTGCTTGATGTGCAAGCCGCCTCTGAAGGCCATCGTCGTCATCCTAGCCCTGCTGCAAGGCATTTCAGTGGGGCTGATGGGTTTGGCAAGTTGGCCCGCGCAGATTCTCTGTGCAGCTGCCCTTGTGCTCTTTATGTCTCTGTGGGCCATCTTGATCACGAGATACATACTGCTTTACTCACCTCCAAATCGAATTGGTGCTGTGAATGGGGTCTTTTCATTGGGCGTCACGCTCATTGGCATGCCCATGCAGTTGACCGGATTCTGGGTGACTTCGATTCTGCCATCAGGTCTAGATGCATATTGGCTCCCAATGTTTGTCGTTGGCAGCACCGGCACGCTTGGATTAGCCGCCTACTCCATCTACTTCCATAAGTTCCCCCCTCCGAGCAGTCCGGTTTTACTTCCCGAAGACGAGTCCGAGTTGGCGAAAGGATTTGGCTGCAGAAACCTCGAGGAAGTGTGCGTCATTACTCATACCAAGACCAAGGCTGAGCTCGTCAGGAAGCTGGCCTCCACGAAGCCAGAAGACATGCAGAGCCTCATCAAAAGCTTCGATGTGAAGAAAATGATGGAGATCACGACACAGCGACCGGTCATGGATCTTGCTGACATGATAGAGGCGAACGACGAAGACGACGAAGATGAAGAGCCGGAGGAGGAAGGGCCCCGGACGACAGCAGAATTGGAGGCAAGGCTAGCGGCTTCCAACTTGCATGAACCACATCTTCGCTCCCGCGGCTGCTACCTGGCGCGGATCATCGCAGCAGGCAACAAGAAAGCACTTCGGGAGTACTTGCTCAATGAACCAGTGGAGGGCATCTTGAACGTCAATGCGTACTTGGCCGAGCAGCAAACTGAAGCAGAGCAGAAGCAGCAAGACAGAGCCTTCAGCAAGTTGATCTCCGGCAAGGATCGCGGGGATGTCGCTCGCTGCAGTCATGCGGCAGGGGAAGGGCTTCTACAATGCAAGTCTTGTAAGTAGTGGTCGTCGTCGTCGTGCTTGCTGCTGGCAGCGGCATCGTTGCGTGAGTTCCCCTGGACAGGAGTTCGCGGCTTTGCTTCGGCAACGTCCCGAGCTCAAACCCTTCGCCCTACAAATGCCCCTTTGACAAGAGCTTTGTGTCCTCTCGGGATGTTCCGGCTGATTGCGAGGACTAAAGTTTTTCAGTTGCAGGGACGGAAACGGGGTTGCTGCAAGACAGCACTCGGGACTCCAAGGATGATGCAGGCGTTGGAGAAGAAGATGGCTTCCACTGGCCGGAAGAGCAGGAAGTGAGCAGAGCTTCTAGGCACATACCTCTCAAGCCCAATCCGGGCCCAATCACGATCTCCTCTAGTTTACAGGTCTAAACAATGCATCGGTCGGCTGTTTATGCAGAGACTGAAAGAAGCGTACCTTGGATGGATGATGAGATTTCGTTGCTGTGATTGGCATGCTTGCGGAGGCTTTGATAATTCCCAGTCGATACTTTTGTTCTCTAATGGTCTACCGTCGTAGAGGCTCCGTCGACTTTGAGGCCGGGGGGGGAGGCGCCAAATGCTAGAAGGATGTATGCATTGGGCCTCGCAAGAAGCAGCCTCAAAGTCGTTTGTTCTCCCTCCATTGCAGGCTTCGGAGGACCAAGCCCTTGGAACGCCGCAGTCAAGCCTCTGCGACCAAGTCGCGAGGACTTATCGAACCCTAAAAAGGGCCATGCACGCAGTGTGAACGGCGATGCTCAAAATCTCTCCGACGTGTGTGCCAAGGCCAGGACGAAGGCAGGGTTGAGGGATCGTGCCGTCTCCGCGCAAAGCAATCTGTCCGGTCACTAATTAAGGATCTGATCAAGAGAACTGCCAGGACTGAAAGAGCGGACATGTCAGCAAGGCATCCGAAAGGAGCGCGCAACATGTGGGCAGGCTCCCAACCTTCGAAATCTGACGCCCGGAATCCTGAAGACACGAATCCTTCAATCAATTTGACCCGAAATTGAAGATCAACTACGGATAAGGCCCGTGCTCGCATGTTGCATGACAGAACTCTTTGTGGCTATTCGTGTCACTACTGAGATTTGTGTGTGGCCAGTCTCAAAGGGTGGGTCTAGTTTAGGAGTTTAGGGTTTACAGTCTGTAAGGCTCAGGGTGCTGTACGGTAGCAATCGATTATCCTGGTGAGCCGTCTTGTCATGATGATTAAAGCGCTCTTACGAATCCTTGGTGGCCTTGGTGTGCAGTACCTGCTATTACCGCTGTTTCTCTGCTGCATGTTTCGGTTCAGGGCTCCAAAGTTCCGGATCCCGGAACTCCGATCGCGACGATTACTCAAACAAATGCCCAATCGGATGAGGACATGACCAGTTGCTGCAAGAAGAGTGATGATACCACAACACGATGTTGACAACAAGGGCCTTAAATTTCCCATTTTGGCCATCTAGGAGTGAGGACTTCTGCCAGGGAGACTACTGCAAAACAACCTCGGTGTTAACAGCGACCGTTTGTGTAGACTTCTCGTTCTGTCACGGGTCCTACAGCCCGAAGTCACACGGATAAGTTTCCACACATGGAGGCTCAAGCCTTCAACCCTAGACCCTATCCAACAGGAACATGGCAGGAGGAAAAGAGGGGTTGACAATATTCAATAAATAACCCATGTAGGTGACTTGCCGGACCTTTGAGCTCGAACCACCTGTTCTCTACAAGGTCCTCTTCGGGGCTGAGCCCTAAAGTAATAATTCACCCACCCTAACACATCTGAAGGCAGGTGCACCATACCGTAGAAATTGCGGCAGCAAACATCTACGACTGGTGCTGCCCCTAAGCCAGCGCCCTCAAACAGCTCCACTTCGTTCTTCTTGATGTCGGCAAACCTGTCGGGGCTGTGGGTGACGGCCATTCGAAAATGGAAAACTCAGCCCTGAAACCAAGAGGCCTGCAGTCGGCTTTCTGGCGCCCAAGCAGCGCGCACGCAGATTCCCACGCAGCTGTCCTACGTGGCCAAAATGATGCTGGATTAGGACCCAGGCTGAAGTTACTGTTGCAGAACCGGGACAGACCCCGACCTGACTCAGTGTTAAGTTGGGCGACTGCACCGTGAAGGCTTCAGTGGTTCGGGGTTCCTGGATTAGGCGCTACAAGCAAGTGAGGGGGTTTGGTGTTTTTTCCAAGACTAGGAACATCGGCTGTACGGTTCAGAGCCGTACTATCAGGCCTCCTGGGAGTTTGCAGTTCAGAGTATTACATACCCCGTCATGAAGGGATCGGAGTTTGGGATTTCTGATTGTGGGTTTGGCGCGACAAGGCATTGTGATTCTGGATCTTGTGCTCCGCAGGCTCGAAGGACAGATCAAGCGAGCATGGAACACCACTTTCAAGCTGCTAGCACCCACGATTCAGTATTTTTGTTTGCAAAGGCGCTGGGGTTTCGGGCGTCCTACACCCAGGGCCTCGGTCCAAGCCCCCATCCATCTTTGTGCCATGCTGCGGCACCACGACCTTTTCTTTCCGGGGCACACGGCGAGCGCGCCTCAACTTGTTAAGGAAGTGTAGTCGTTTTTGGTGGCTGCTGTGTAGTCATCCGCGGGCCCTTGAGTGTTTTTGGTTTCGGGTTTCGCCGCTTAACCCTAAACCAAGAGTTTAGGGCACCCACATGCTAGGGGTTGGGGCCCGAGCCATTTGGTTTTGGGGCTAGGATCCGTCTACAGTGCAAAGTCCCCTCGCACCGAAACCTACGGTCCTCGCAATCCTAAACCCTTAAGCCGATATCCTTCAACTGAAACAGCTAGAATTTCAAAATTCTGAACAGAAACTGCAAAGCAAGTGCTGCTTGCAGAGTTTAGGATTTAGGGGCAGTGTGGGTGGTTGCCAGGAGCTTCTTGCAATTCGCTTGGCTCTGCGATCAGCTCCGACTCCTCCGAGAAGCTGCCGAGGGGTGACTTGAAAGACGCTCGCGCGCCACATTGAAGGCAGCTTTCTAGACAGGCTTGGAGGTTTAGAGCGCGCGCTTCAACGAAGCCTCCTTGGCCGAGATCTCCCTCGGAATGTATGGGCCCACGCGACCTCATTCGCAGCCTGTGGCTGAAGATAGTTCCCACTGCCAGAGCCAGGTTTTACAGCGTAGCCGCGCGCTACAGGTTTGCGGGCTTCCTCCTACCAGAACTTCTGCATATCTGACCTTGCACATCTGACCTTCTCAAACATCTGAAGGTGAAGACTCTGTTGACTCTTTCTTTGTACAAACCCGGTAGTAGGGCGACACGGAGCTTCGAGACACAGGGCAACCAAATTGCTTGCACAATCGCAACCGACAGCGACTGCGAAGTTTCGGCACCAGCCACCGCTTCATAAAGCGTTTCTGCACGCTGAGCGGCCTCATGAAGCCATGGTTTGCCGCTCAACCCCTGCCATCCAAGAAGATCCCCATTACCCAAGCCGCACAGCTCTGAGCCCTAAGCAGTAAGATGCCCGACTCGTAGCCCGTGATGGGAGCAGCCTATAGGTCCGGGACTTGGCGGAACTCTCCGTCCTAGCACAGAAGCAAGGCGCCTTGGAGTGTTTGGGCGAGGCCCCAAAGCATGTGAAGGTTTAGGGCTTAGGGATATTAAGATGAAGTTTTTGGGGTTCGGAGTTTAGTCAGTTTAGGGTGTAGGCTTGAAGGTCCCTCGAGTTTGGGATGTAGGGTGCGTGCTTGTCCCGCATTGGCCAGGGCTTTGTGCTTTCCATGGCAGATGCAGGGTTCGCACTCAAGAAGTGCGCAACTGATCTTGTAGTCGTTCGCGTCTTCTTACCTTTGGAGTTCTTCCTCGCCAAAAACTCAAAAGCACAAAATCCACGCTTCAAATTTAGGTACCCTAAAGCCTCAATTTCTAGTTGCTCATGGTAGTGCTTCAGAACCTGCCTGCAATTCATTTCGCTGCAGCTTAGGGTATTAGGGCACACCTGAGCAGTGACCTTGAGTGATTCAATGCTCAGCACCCGTTGCGGTGATGGTTATATCTTATGACATCCCAGATAGCACGTCCCTGGGCCCTAGGGAATACGAAATTTCGATTCTGTTCCAAGCTGACCCTTACAGGACAGTCAGAAGCATGTAAACCATTATCGTGTGCATTTCAGCAGCCTGCAGACTGCATGTGGTGCATAGCTTTGCAGAAGCCCCTGCCGGCGGCTGTGTCGCAGCGTGTCTCCATAGGAACCGACATCTTACTGCAGCTGGCCAGTCCCATGATGCGTAGTGCTCGGGGCATCGGAGCAAGCTTTCTTGGAGCCTTCCGATTTCAGTGAGACAAACAGCAAAACAAGTGAGGAGGAGAGCACATAAGCGCTTCAACAACCTGACATGCATCCCCAAAGCAGGAGCAGGTGTTTCGGAGCCAGAACTCGCTTTCACGAAGCGGTCTTATATGGCTCCATTTCACGGAAAGTGGGTCATGAACCGCTATGCATGACGAACCAGTTGGACATTCTCGTGCAGATATTCGTCGCCCAAGATCACTTTGCAGCTCCCCGACTGCAGAGAAAGCTTGCCCTTCGTTTCTGAAGCTGGAGTTTTGTAAAGAGGAGCACCTGCCACTTGCCGCCTTTATTGGCGCTCTCAAGGAAGGGGCTGTGGACATTTTGGCCGATGTCGATTGAAGCGACCTCTCCTTTCCAAGATGGAAACGATCGTTCACGGTTTGTAGATGTAAAGCTTGGTGGTTTCTGCCGCAAAGGCGCTGCCCAGGATCCAAGCCTTCGTTGCTAGTCCACTTCACTTTTCTTTTCCTGTAAAGGGTTTCGCTTGGCCTCAAAGATTGGAGGCCGGAGACTAAGCCCGGCATGCTTCTTTTCGTGCTCTGAGCTGTTGGGGACTACCGTCGTCCCTAGCCGAGCCGCTTCCGCTCTTGTAGGCATCTTGGTGAGCCGGTGAGTCCTCAAAAGAAAGGGTTCTGTGCCAAGGACAAGCCGCGTCGAAGTTCCGTTTCTGAGCCCCGGCCGTCTGCATCCCCAGCCTCAGACCCTGAAGCCCTGCATCTCTAAATCCAAATTCGTGCTTTTAGTGGCCTGCATTGTTTCCCTTTCGGCGATCCTTCCGGTGGCACTACATGCAGAACTCTGTGTGGGTCAGGGCGTGCTCCCGGCCAACTCAATCCCCAGCCTGATTGCGAACGTGCATTCTCCCAGGTGCCCAATTTGAGGTGCACGGCACTTGAATGGGGGCAAAGCTCCGAACGGCCTCATGCTCCGTCCGGCACCTTCTCTCGTGCAAGGCCCCCACTGCAAGGTCACACATGTGGTAAAGCCTGGATTATCCCTCAAAGC